CTACACAGTGATGGAAACTGCACACAGGCTTTCCTCTTTCAGCCAGTTCACCTTTGTAGGTGACCCTAGGCTTGGTAGACTGACAAGGAAATAGGGAATCCTAATTTTGTTGCTTTTGCAATGAAGTCTGGAGGTATCCTGCAAAAATCAGCTACTTAAGTATGACCCTGTGTTCAGGGCTATGAATCTCAGGTGGGTGATTCCTATCATGCTCCTAATAGCTGGCAATTAGGAAGTCATTTGGGCCAAGCACATGAAATCATAACCAGTTACACTCAGGAGCTGGTGCAAGTTGGATTTCTATTGCAAATTTGTGAAGAGCTGCCAGTTAGAAAATTATATTCTTTCCCAAACTTCCCTTTTTTCTGGTGACCGCGGTGACATAAGGAAAGAAAAGCAGTTTAGATTTTTTTCTAAACAAAATTCTTTCTTCTGGGACTCTCTGCCTGGTGCTGTTCTTACTGAAAGTAATCGCATAATTACCACTAAATTAAAAGGGATGAAGAGGAGGCTCTCAGCCCCTACAGGAATGTACAGCAGGGTGAAGCTTCTGGTGCCAGCACTTAACATCCCAATTTCAATTGCCACTTTAGGGTGCTGGAGCAGGTCCTCCCTGTTTAGGAAGGGAGCAGGCTCTCCATTTTTAGATGAACAAAGAGGCATGGCCGCTTTCTTACGTGTTTGTTGTAATTACTTTTAAGTGCCTATTCCAATCTCTTTCTTCAGTTTTACAATATTAAAATCCACAATATGAAGCTCAATACTTCCTGAGAGAGAGCTTTAATTCTTTCTCACAATAATAATAGTAGTAAGAACAATACATTTTAATGAAGTCAAGTATTTGGGTTATCTGGTATTTCCATCTGCCTTGCAGATAGAGCATCCTTTTTCTGCAAACTACTACGTTTGGTGTTTTTAAGGTTTTGGCTTTGCTGCATTTACCTTTAATTGCACAAATGATTGACATGTTTTCCTTCAAAGTAGCAGATTTGCCAGTTTAGTAACTAGGACCATCATAGCTTCAGTTATAATTTTCCCCTCCACGGGTCTTTAATCTAGCTTCCTTCATTTTCTGTGCATGGATCACTTTAGAAGAGAATGCTTAAGCTGTTCTGGCTTTCTAGGTCCAATCGTAACAGTTGTAACTTAAGAGATGGTAACATAAGGTTTCAGTGTCTAAGGCAGAATCACAAGTATTTTCCAAGGAGAATAACCTGTTTCGGTCCCTTTTCATTGGTTTTGTGGCCTGTATTGAAAGAAAGATTATGTCTTCATTTTAACTAAAAATTAAACTGTGTAAAAGGTTATCCCAGTAGCCATAATTGTGTGCTGACTGACATACAAAATCTGAACCAGATTTTCCAGTGGTGATATGTTCCTGTATATATATATTTTAAGACATAAAAATAGGACTTCATGCTACTACTCAAAAAGATTTAATCTGTCTGATTTAATCTGCATGTTTTTCTCTCTGGGCCGGACAGACTATGTATGTTCAAGCCCCAAGCACTGCAGTAATACAGCAGAAAATGGGCTGACGGTGCATGCAGCCTGTTCAGTGAGGTTTCTGCTCCTTGTTCAGTCAAAACTGTTTGTGCCCTTGTGTTTGTGTGTATGTTGCCTTGTTTTAAAGCTCCTCCAAAGGATGCTGTATCTCTAAACAGAAGGAGCTGAGACACAGTCTGAGTTCTATGTGAAAGGTTTCAGAGCAGAAAGAAAATTAAGTGTGGAAAAGAAACTCAATTCAGTCAAAAAATATGACAGGAGAACTGTGTGAGGTTTCAAAGTACAGTTCCTTCACTGTATCATAAATATTAGTTTATCTGCAAAATTACACTAGAGAAAAGCAAACTGATATTTATAACCAAAACCAGAGGCAATCATAGGAAAAAAAAAAGAAATCACTGACTTATCAGAGCTGTGCTGATAAGGGAGATTGAGAAAACTTTGGTTTTCCAGGAGGTTAAAGACAGTCTTGTCTTCTGAAACATAGCTCATGCCAACGCTCACAACTCTCTGGGGAACTTCTTTGGTGGGAGGAAAGACACTGGATTCAAGTCTCCAACAGACACAGTGACTTTTAAGGCTGGGAGAACTCCCATGCCTACAGAGGGAATTTGGGAATATTCAGTTTCAGTGGGATGATTGTTTCAGGGATTGGGTTGTCTAAAATTATGTGAGTTTCACTTTCCAAATTAGGTTGCAATACATGCTTTGAAATCAAATCTTGTTTATTATATGTCTCTAAAAACCAACCAGATTTACTAATTACAAAACCCAATAAAGATAAGAAGGAAGTTTGAGATAAGCAATAACATTATAATTGCAGACCACTTTATACATGAAAGCCATCGCTTAGTTCTTAAACATAAGCATTAGATTATAAACCAGATCCCATTAATTTGGTGATGGCAGTTGTTTTTCTTTATTATGCATTTGTGTTCCAAAATTTTAATTTACAACCAAATTACTAATCTAACATTAGCATTCTGAAGATGATATTAAAAAGTTAATTGAACCTAAATCTAGTGGAGGTAAATTCAACACCTGAGTCTGCAGACAGCCCTAAGAAACAACTCTGATCCTGTTCATCCCAGAGGGCTGTACTTCTGGTAAGAGTACCTTAGCCACAATACCTACTTTGTAAACTGGCAATGCAAAAGTGTTTCTTAGGTTCAAAAGCCACTGCTGCTCTCTAATCAGTTTCTAAAACTTCGACATTTTCTTCTGCGTCTCTATCTTCACTGGGTAAACTTTTACTTAAACCCTTGAAAGTGTCTATATATGTGAAGGGTAGTGATAAGTGTGTTCGTAGAAAAGAAAAGCAGGTCTTGTCCCCAGTTCACCCAAGTATGCATAGCTACATATTTCTTTTTAAAAATATACATCATTTATCAAAACTTCATCGGTGTGTTCTCTGTAAACTGGCCAGAGTATTTGGACAGTAGTGTGTCCTGAGGAGGAGTAGATAGGGCCTGGACCTGAAACTGTTTTGAAAGAATCCTGCTGGGTTGGATCTGCAGAGCTCATTTGCTTCCTCACCGTCTGCTGTTTGTGCTTAATTAATGTATTTGAAACTTCTGAGGATGTCATTGCTGCAAGGGTAACCTTGGTGACTGTGCTTGCACTGTTCCTTCTCAGACAGTGTATGGTGTGAGCATGATCCAGAACCCTTCAGCTTATTCATCCACACAAACATCCTGCTCCTTCACCTGTCCCAGAAAGACTGTGGGGACAGGATGCAGAAATCTGACTATATTGAGAATGTACGGTGGTATAGTGGGCTTGTGAGAAAACATCTCTGTCCTCTCAGAGCATCTAGGGAGAATTGTGTAGAGTCCCAGGTGGGCTGTACTGGTGGAGCAAAGCCTCACTGGTGAGCTCAGAGTTGTAATTTTGGAAATAACAGTCCTTATGCATACTCAAAATTTGGCTTATGCTGTCTCCAGTTACTGAAATTAAACCATAGCTGTATAAATACTGGAGTTTTTATACATGCATGGGATTTTGGTAAGAATAATGGTGTAATTCTAGCACAGCTATGCTAACAAGGCTAAAGAAGTTTTATCTTCCTTTGGTCAGGACTGCTCAGAGACAAGATCTGCCCCGCATTTGTTACCAAAGCTCCAGTGAAGCAAGATTAATGCATCAATCTGGTTAGGGCATGGGAAGGGGGAATGGCTGAGAGAACTGTCAGGAGAGTGTAGCAGACTTGTTCATGTGGAGTTTGGTCAGGGATGGTTCAGCCAGGGGCAAGGAGGCTTTATCAAAGGTACTAACTTCATAGCAGTGCCCTCTCCACCTGAGACAAGTGTGAAATATTCTCTTGCCACCTCTGGTATTTCAAGTGTGAAATGCTCTCCAGCCAGCCTTGGTATTTCAAGTGTCATTTACATATCTGAAGTGAGGTGACAGTGCAGCTAACCCCAGTGCAAGTTCTCCTGGAATTTTATTTTAACTATTCTTTCCACAGAAAGTTTGGTCTTTATACCAAATGCCATTTTAAAGAAATCAATATAAATACAAGTCATCAAATACAAAAATTAATAGTTAATTTCAAATATTCTCGTCCTGGCTCTTTTTCTTGATTTTTCCCTCCAACTTTGTTCAAGGATTGTAGAGTCACATTTTTTTTCTCATGCAGTAGTTTAATATCTTGTACCCATGTGCTTGGAAGACTTTTATAACAGTTCTAGCTCTGGAGCTTCAGTCACGCACAGATTAAACAAATGGGAATGATGGAGCTTATCCTGTTCAGCCACAAATCTTTAAATCTGACTTTAGTGTGCATGTGCCACTCATGGTATAATGTGGAATTGGGGCAGTTCATGATGCTCAGGAAAGAGTGACCAGGTTATTCCCATGGGCACAGGTTTTGTTTTGTCCCTGTGGTCCTGTTATTGAAATATGTGTGCACAGCAGCAAAACCCCAGTTTCTCCTGCACACAACCTATGTGTCATGAAGCCTGTGCATAGTGCTAGGCTCTGGTGGGACAGCATTTTTATATGGAGCAATTCAGTACTTGGTATAAAGATTTATTATATTTTTCAAGGGACTATTTCATTTTTGGGAAATGCTGGTTGTTGAAAAAGCAAATCTCACAGAGAGGCTGAGGTACTTGGTTAAGTAGGTTTACTGTAGTCTCAATAAAGCAAGGAAACAGTTCAAATTGTACTATACATAATACTATAAAAGTATTATACACTTCTAAGTGGAGATGGTAAAATGAAGGTGTTACATGTATCAGGAGACAGATAAGCATCTGATCTGCTTTTTATTACAATTAAAGCAATTGTAAGAGATATGACAAGTATTCATTGATTTAGTTCAGCACAATTAGTCAGTGTTGGGTTAAAACTTCTGTTCCTGTGACTTCTGGAGCTGCACGTTGCAATCTGTATCACTCCATTAATACGGTATCCTAGCGAGCATGTTTCCTATTTTGCTCCCATGGGTGAGATTTAGAGGTATGATGGAGCACTGTTTTGAATTCTCACAGGATGAGCTGGATGAACTTCGGGCTGAAATGGAAGAAATGCGTGACAGCTATTTAGAAGAAGATGTTTACCAGCTGCAGGAGCTCCGGCGAGAGCTAGACCGGGCAAACAAGAATTGCCGCATTCTGCAATATCGTCTCAGGAAAGCAGAACAGAAAAGCCTGAAAGTTGCACAAACAGGCCATGTGGATGGAGAGCTCATTAGGAGCCTGGAACAAGATTTAAAGGTGGGTTGAGCGATTCATATTCATGGCAAAAGAGAGCAGACTGTGATGTGGCTCTTTGCAATGGAAGTAAGGGTGGCACATGAAACAAGCAGTAGTTCTCCAAATGTCAGGACCAATTTCCTTCTGCTGTGGTGGAGAGCAAATATTAAGCTTATCATCATAAAAAGATGTGTCACTGAGTAAAAAAACATGTGTTTAGATTCAAAATGAAAGAAATACAGTCAAGTTACATTTGAGCCTTTGAAAAATTTAAAGGATCTTGTTTTACTGAAAACCTTAGCTTTGCAATACTGCATAAACAAAACTTGATACTTTTTTCCAACTCATGCCATTTCCTTCCTTTTCGCTTCTTGTTTATGCCAAATAACTTGAAAAAAAACCCCTAGTCAAAGTTGCATTTCTTAGTGTCTTATGAGTTACTTGTAACAGTAACAGACTTATAATAGTAAGGCAGACAGAGAATCAAAATGCTCTTTCTATAAAAGCACAAGTCCATGTGAAAATTGTATTCATCCTGAAACAGCTTTTATATTTTTCAGAAATGTTTCCCTCTAAACCAAGTTAGGCTTTGTATAGTCATCATATTTGTCTAGCTTTACTCATCTTTCTTAATATTATCTTGTAGCTGGTTTTAAAATACATTCTGTAGAGAGGGACTGCTTGCCACTAGAATTATTAAGCATTTTGTACTTAAAAATGCAAAACATTAACTCTTCTGAAACTGGAATGAGTTGTTGTCAGCAGTGGTAATGCGAGTAACACATCAAGTCACCAAACCTTTTAAAATATCAGACCTACGTTTGTCTTTTATGATAAAAAACAAATTATAACCTTATAACAATAGAAATTATACACTACTTAGTAAAAATCTTGCACACGTATTTGAGTGATAGATATATTGGGTGGTTTTAAATAGTTTGCTTTTGTTTTGCTGACTTCTTGTAGTTCCATAATTCATCATTTTGCATGATGTATCTCCTTTCCAAATGTTTTTGGAGTATATATCTATCCTTGTTAGGCTGGACTCAGAAAACCTAAGCTAGCCTATATTTCTATGCTTTCCTATCGCTCTTGCCTAGTTGTGATTGCTGCTAGAGCGGCAAATTTGGGTGGATGACACTGTTGCATGGATGTTGCTTTGATCGATGACCTGTCAGCTTTACAGCACAATTCCTATCTTTTGCTTTATCTACGTGATATGCTGGGATTTTGATGGGCAGGTTTGGTATCTGCTTGTTTTCTCCCACTGTTCATGACATTGCCTTAGCATAATGTGAAGATGGGTAATCAAATATATTTTCATTCTGGATTTCTTTATTAGAAATGAATATTCATTTTGGAACTTGGAAGACTCAGAGGCTTTCATCAGCAGTGTCATAATTGAATTAGAAGTCTCTTGGCTTTCTAGAGCTGTAATATGCTTTTGCTGTAAGAGACATACTGCAGCTGTTGCTCCCCATGGATGATCTTCATGCATTTGTGCTCTTCTGACCAGGTAGCCAAAGATGTTTCTGTCAGACTGCACCACGAGCTGGAGAGTGTGGAGGAGAAACGTGTGAAAGCAGAAGATGAAAATGAAGTCCTTCGGCAGCAAATCATCGAGGTGGAAGTATCCAAGCAGACGCTGCAAAATGAGCTGGACAAGTTAAAAGAGGTAAACAATTGTCAGGAAAGCCATGCGGAGCAGTGTTGGTGGGTTAGATGGGAAGTTTGATGCACAGGTAACTTAGAGTAAGTCTGACATGAAATGCTTTTCAATATTGCTTGTACAATTGCCCAAAAGGTCTCCTTTATTACGTGTCCCAAATGCAGTGGTAGCTTAGAAGCAAAAGAGATGTGGATGAGGGATGCTCCGGCTTTTGTCTGTGCATTCTCGCAGGACTTCTGTCCCATTTTACACTGTCTGCTTAAACCTCTCTTCCCACTAGAACAAAACTCTTCTATTTGACTCCAGCTAGCACTGGCTCTCCTTTGAACAGACTGGGACTTCCACCTACTTGAAAGTCAAATGAGGTGTGCATGACTTGTCTCTGAGAGGATGGTTCAGATAGGCAAGCCGCCGTTTCGGCTGGTACTCTTCAGTGGTGACAGTGGGAGCCACCAGCATGAGCTAGACAGCAGGAGTGTGGTCTGTTATGTATAAATAAAATTGCACTTCAGGCACAGAAGTGCTGCCTCTTGAGAAAAGGGATCATTTCAACTGGAGCTGACACGTAGTCATACTGGGGGAAGTGATGATCCTTGGAAGCAAGTGATCTGAGGAGCAGGGGACAGTAAAGGAAAGCCAAATACTAAGCATGGCTCTTTGCTGGAGCCTACATCCCCATCTGTAGCAGTATTTCTGTTCTCTTAACAGTACAGCAGATTGGCATCTCACAGCCTCTGCTCTCTTTTAAACCAGATTGAGATAGAGCATTTAAACATAATGAGGTAAGGCATTTATCCTCTGAGCCCTGGTCAGATTTAGAGAGCTGGTGCAATTATGTGTTATTTTAATCTTTCAAACATTGCTTGCTAGTCAACTGGCACAAAGCCTGGCTCAGTTTTATAAGGACAACCCCTATTTAATTTCTCTTGCATTTGAGTTATCAGTAGTCCAGCGCAAGAGTTTTGGAGCATTTTGTGCCTGACAGAACAGATCATCAGCTGGTGTCAATATCAGTGTTGCTTAGATTACTTATGAACTTGATACAAAAGATAAAGTCTGCATGATGTTTTAGCTATTCTTCTTTCTCAATGTTATTTGTGAACACTGTGCTTAATGGACACAATACCATGTTACAGGGTCTGCAGTCTATATTCCGTACAAAGATACCATCTCATTCACTTTCCTGAACATATTGCTTGTTGTTGATTAACATGCAGGTCCACTAGGTACTGCTTGGTCATCTTTGGGATTAAGCAGTTTGAGAAATTAAACTGTGGGTGAGCAGTGGGGAAAAAGAAATGGTTCAGCAGTGCTGAAGTCTCAAGGTAGCTCTAACCAGTTCAAATTTACCTTGCTGCTTAGATTGCTGCAGTCTAACCGTGCTGGGAAGCTCCATTGACTCTGCTGTTTCTCTGCTGCATTGCAAGGCAAAGTGAATGCACCCTTACTTTGGAAGCAGGCTTTGCACCCTAAGAGGCAACACCTGGAGGGGAACTAGGGAAAGGGAAAGATAGCAGGTAGAATGATGGGATGCATTCTGCTGATCTGGAGATACAGCAGGGCATAAGATGTATCATAAGATGTAGTAGTAGTAGTAGTAGAGATAGTCTGGTTTCTCATGCCATGAGTTGTGGTTTCTCCGGCAGTCAGAATTTCACAAGGTCACAGTAGGTGAGAAGATGGAGGTTTGAGTCCTTGGCAGGTCACACCAGGACAGATGAGCCAAAAGCTGGAGAAACACATCAATGTGAGTGTCAGATAAGTCTGTGTTTGCAATGTTGTCGACATTGCTAAAAAAAAAAATGAAATTAGTCTTAACTCAAGATGCGCTCAAACAACCACCAGAAGCAATGCCTCCTTAGGAACATTTAAAATGTACAAAGCTCTAAAGGAATGCACTGTAGACATGCCAATGGGAAAGCTAGTGCTCTGTATATCAGGAGAAAAGTGACCCAGAGGCCACGTAGCTTCTCCCCAATCCACCCTGACTATACATCTTGTCTATCTAAAGGCTGACAGTTAGAAGGAGCATTTTTCCTAACCAGTCCTAGAGCATTGCCTGAGGCCCAGTTAGACAGTATTTGCTCTCTGATATAGCTCACTGCAAACATATGCTCATTTTCTGTAATAACCTTGACTGTTCTCAGCCCTTTTCCTTTATCATCCTCCGATCAACAAAAAGGTTTTCTCACATCCATGTTCATGTTTATTACTTAATTCAGTGCTAGTTTCTGCTTTGGCTTGCTGTACAATTCCCTGGGGTCCAGTTTCTCACTGCAGTAGATGGCATATATGTTAATTACCTTCAACGTGTTTTGCATGCTGAAATGTCTTTAGTAATTGTACACATCTCTGAAAGCCACTCTTTCTTTAAAACCACCATTAGTTTTTATCATAGTCTCTTGAAGAATTCCTAACATTTATCATATTTGGTGCTGTTGCATATTTTTTGCCTCCTACTGACCATGTAATTTCAAGTTGTTTTAATAAATAGGTATGAGATAGACTTTCCTCTTTTGCCACTAAATAATATTTGTCAGTGGGTCTTACCTTTGCAAACAATCCTTCACCGTCTTCCCTCCCCTCCCCTCCCTTCTCCTCCTGCTAAAGCACTTCCTTCCTCAGTCCCAGATGCTTCTGGATTCCCATTTTATGACATACTTGCAGAAACTTATCAAAATCTATCAAAACCACATCTAGACTCCTGTTTTGTTCTGGTATCTGCAAATACTCCCCATCATCAAAATATTCTGATTTTCACTGAATATTAGAGTAAGGAGATGTCACATACTCAGTGAGTCACAGGTTTTTTTAGGATAATGCCACCTCTTTCCCTTTTTTTTTTTTTTTTTTTTTTTAATAAGAGTGCTCTATCCCTTCAGCCTTTTGCTGCATTTCCTGTGTTTTGAGCTAAGGTATGAATTGCTAAGGATGTGTAATGAATGCTTGTGGATTTTATCCAATTCTGATGTCTTCCAGTTAGACATCATTCTTCTCTGAATGACTTCTCAGTATCCTGGCATTCACTTTGCTTACTCATGCCACTCTACTTCCTTTTTTTTCAGTCGTGTTAGCCAAAAGATAATATGGTGCTTTCTTTTCCCATAATACTTCATATGTTTTATTTTCAGATATTATTTTTTTATCACGGTGTAGGTTCATCATTTGCTACTCTTGCCTGAAGTACTTCCACTGATTCTTTTGAAGCTGCTTCTTTCACTGGGTAATGATGTTTCCTCACTGAATATTTTTTAACTTTACTGACTGTACTAGGTTCTTCTGTTTCAGTCTAACTGTTGTAGCACTGTGGTTCATTGAATTTTTTCCATGATTACATTCACCCACTTTTTCAGTTTCCCTTTTTCATATCTTCCCTTTCTTTTTCTTTTTTTTTTTTCTGTGAACTTTTCAACAGTTTTTGGGCTGCCATCTGATACTTTTTTGTGGCATCCTTCCTCAGAGCTTCAGAGTTTTCCTACTGCTGTGAACAGTTCTTTGTAGCATATCCTGGAATGTCTCTGAGAACTGTCCCTTCTAGGAATTTGCTAGGATATTCTGTGACTTACGAAAGCTGCTTCCTCCTTACAACTTTAGAAGCAAAGGCAGTGTGCCCTCACAGATTCAATAAGTACACATATCCCTGCCAAGGCTTGCTTGCTTTTTTCTCTTGTTGTCTGGGTTATTAACATTGCCATTTGAGTCAATAGGCTGCCAGGGGAGGAAAAAAAATGACTTCATCACTAACAAATTACCTCAGCAACATATCTGCAACTGTCATTTCCCCCTTCCTAATATCCTAATGCACCTCCTGAGAAATATGGGTGTATATTAAGAATTTCTCTCAGTCAACCAAGCAGCAAGCATTCAGAACACTTTTTTCCAAAGTTTCCTTTCCTTTGTATCAATGCAAAATCCTGAGCAACTCTCTTCCGAGCATCTACGAACCAGAACTTTTCTGAAAGGCTTGACAATAGCAAGTGGATTTTCTTTGAGAACTGAACATCTTCATTCAACATCTAACTCATCCAAAACATCATTTCCTTGGAGCCACTGGGGCATCTTTAGGGAACTTCTTCCTTATATTTTCTCTGGAAAGATATTTCACAAATAGATGATCTATTTTTAGGGTAAGTATAAACAGCTATGAAGTCACTGCTTGGCAAGTGTTGAGTGCCCTTATGTACAATGGTCATTAATTCCCCTGCAAGCAATACCTCTCAGAGTAATCCTTTCTCCAAAAAACTCCGTACCTTGGGAAGAACAGACCATTTTTGCTCCTTTACTGTAGAAACTGCAATGAGATGGCACAGGACCTGCTCCTGTTCCCCATGGGGAGAATGAGTCAGTTGCTTATTTGCAGCTGCTAATTGTGTGTTTTCTCGTGTCCTTTGTCTGGGTTTGGCGTTAGCCAGGGTAGAGAGAAGAGGCAGAGCTGTGGCAACGCTGACTCTGCCGGGGAAGGGTAGACCTGTCAGACAAAACAAAGAGACGGGAGGAGTAAGGTCAGGAGTAGCAGCTGCTGAAAGATTTGATGTGAGTACTGTGAAATGGTTTAGCAAGAAACAAATGAGAATTGTGTAACTGGGAAGAAAGGGGCATTTATTTCTCATGTGTTCACTGTACCGAGCAGGTGACAGTCTCTCTTATTGCCACTGAAAGCAAAAGGACCGGAGGGGAAGAAACTGGAGGTGTTGCTTTCTGTCTTGCAAGGACCTCTGGTGTAGCAGCCACCTGCCATGTGACACTGAGATTTTCTTGGTCAGCTCCTAACTTCAGTTGACATCATTTGTGCTTTGAGCCCTCTGGATTTTTGGGACCACTAGAGACACAAGTGCTGTTCTCTGGGTATGTTCACTCAGGAGATTACTCCTAATTGATGGAGAATGATGGCTGCAGCTCACGTTAACTGGTGTTTCTACAAGTAAGGATAGAGGCAAAATGGGAAGTCAAGAAATACAGTTCCCATTCATTTCTGCATGAGAGGAGAGAAGTACAAATCCACTGGC